AATCAAAACATCGTCCCCATTTTTAATTCACATATTTTTGAATATTCTTCCTTTAGAGAGACAGGCCCGACTTAACGCCAGCCAGCGACATCGGCGCCATTTACACGAATGTCCACGCTGCCAAGGGCCCCAATGACGTCCTGGAGCTGCGCGGGCGCCTTCGTGGCCCGAGGGGAGGACGGGAGCTCCAACCTTGCCGGGGAGCCCATCCCGACGCGGCAGGTTGGAGCATTCTTGAAGAAATCGTGCAGGCCGTGGCGGCAGACATGTCCAGGAACCCATCCAGCAAGAGGACGATCGGCGAGTCATCCTGATGCGCGAGGTTGCCGGGGACACCGGTAATCGTTTCTCAAGGAATATTTAGTGGGCTTCGGCCCATCCCGGCACCGTTCTTGGGTTGTGGGTTAGAGGCTTCTTGAATGTTCGTTTGGATATAGTGGGAGGCCTCCTCCTTTTGCGGCCCTCTTGGGCGATCTGCGGCGCCTCTTGGGCTGTTTTGGGGCCCTGACCGTCTTGGGGCCCTCTTGGGGGCCTCTTTGGCCGTCTTGGGGTGGTCTTGGGGGCCTCCGGGGTCATTTCGGAGCGTCGGAATAGCGAACACGTATTGAGCGTCGGAAGCCCGAACTAGTGAGAACCCGAATAGCATCGAAAAACACAAGGAACCTCAATGATGCATGATGTTTGCCTCTTTTGGACCTTTTTTGGGGTCCTCTTCGTGCGCTCGCTCTTGGGGCTTCTTTGGGGCCTGATGGACCGTGTTGGGGCCGTCTTGGGCGTCTTAGAGCGCTCTAGGGCTGTCTTGGAGCCCTGTTGGACCCTCTTGGGCGTTTTCTGGGGCCCTCTTGGCCCGTCTTGGGGCCCACTGGCTTTTAGAGAAGTCACGCGAGGCAGCCCTGGGGCGCGCCGGAGCACCCAGTAAATTTGAGATTTTGGGGCCCTGGCCCTGAGAGTACTATAATCCCCCAGTCCTGAGTACATCGAACAGAGGACTTATGAGAGCCTGGGGGTCACTCCACTTCGCGCCTCGTGGCACGGAGGCGGATGTGGACTACGCGCAGTTGGCGACCGTGACGCTCGAGGACCTCGTGGCCCTCGTCCAGCGCGCAGTCCTGGTGGGCGCCCTGCGTCAGAATATCATGGGTAGTTCCTGGCCTCGGGGGTATCGAGAACGGCGTGGCCTGAGAGCAGAAGTGCGTTCCAAACGGGCGCGGCTCGACGGCCCAATTCCGGTCATGCGCTAGCAGCGTGCCCTATTTAACCATGCTGAATGTGGACAGGTGGTTCGCATGCGGACAGTCGCGATCGCTCGCTGGCCATCAGTTCCAGAGGACACTGAGCTGCGCGAGCTTCCCGTGGTGACTGCGGATGCGAAATGCGGGGCGTGACCTGGCGGCTGAGGCGGAGGTGTTCGACGTCGTCGTGGACCAGCTGGGGTCGCCGCTGTTGAGGCCCCGTGCTTCTGGCAGAAAGCGAGCCAGTCCGCCGGCGCCCGGCCCGTCGCCCTGGGCCTGTTGGTGCGGATTTTCCATTGCGCTGCCGCCGCTGCCGACCTTGCCCAGGCGATGGGGGTCGGCGCGGACACGGGCGACCCCGTCGCGCGCGCGCAGGGCCCAGGCGCGCCTGTGGCCACACGCAAAAGCGATCGAGGCAAGATTGGGCCCGGCGTCAATAATGATGAGTATATATATACATATATTGCCAGTTGTTTGGAGCGCGTCGCGCCGAAATGAGTACGGCGTGCTCGCGCAGCAATGCGCGTGGAATCTGCGCAATGGGCGCGCCGGGCATCGTCGAGTCATGGCATCTTAGAGACGACTAATGCCGCCGAGCAGAAATCACATGCGCGCTTGGGATCGCAATCCGCTCCATGGCCGCGTTTCCGCGGCATGGTGCAACGGTGGCAGCGGGGCGGTTGCTAGACGTGTTTCGAAAGAATGGAATTCGACTCCTGATGCGCCCTCGGCCCCGCTGCCCGCCGAGCCGCTTCGCCGCTTCGCCCGGCGCGCTGCCGCCGCGCGGCGCGCGTCTCGCTTGTCCATCGAGCGCCTAGCGTTATCTTTCAAGTCTCGCGCGCTAGCGTTGCGCGCAGCGAGCGGAAGGCGCGGGCCTGCGATCCGCGCCCCCCCCGGGCAGGGCGCCAAGCGCGAGGCGTAATTCTTCGAGTTCGGTTCTCCAGTAGGCGGAGGCAACGGGCGTGGCGCGAGAACCTTCGTGTCTTATTTCCCAGGGGGTGAGGCGGCATTCGTGGATCGCCAAAGTCCCAGCAGTGAGATTTTCCGATTGTGTTGCGCGCAGATACCGATCCGCCCGCGGCGCCGCCGCCGGTCGCGCCGCGCCGCCGCCCGTCCGGCCGCCGGCTGCGTAACGTGCGCAATGCGTAACCCACCAAGCCGCGGTCTCCAGCGTTGGGCCTCCTTCTGAGCGTAGACCGCGACCCTGCAAGTCTCATGTTCGGGTTGATCGAGGCAGGGGGCGCCTGTGAAAGGGCCGAATAGCGGGGCGTCCAGCTCTTATTGTCCGCGCGATCAGGTTTTTCATTTCAGCGGTGGGCGGGTCGCGCGGCGCGGCGGCGTGGGCCTCGCGCGGGGGTCGACGGACGTCGAATGGGCGTCGACGGGAGGCGGCGGGGGGGGAGTGATGAGGGGGGGGGGGCATGTGAGGAGGGAGAAGAGGGGGGGGAGGGATTGGGGGAAGGGGCGAGGAAGGGGGGGTGGGGCAGGTTGGGCCCGCTGCGGGACCTGGCGCGCGTCGCCGCGCGCGCGCGTCGCTGCGCCTCCGGAACATGAAACGCACTTTCAACGTGTCCGGGGGGGGGGGGGTGCGAAAACATTTGCGCGACCTTTGCGAGGCGTCGTCGAACCGTCTTCAGAGGGGCGATGCACGAACGCGGCGTCTGCGCGACGTCGGCGAAACATTTCCGGGGGGCGAAGACGCTTGCGGATCGCTTGCGAAACGCTGACGACGCGTCTGCGGCGATTGGAATCTCCCGCGAACATCTCCGAACCATTTCCGCAACGTCTCCGACGCGCCTCCGCGGGGCCAGAAACGATGCGGCTTCGTCGGCCGACGCCGCCGCCCGCTTCCGCTCGCGGAGCGAACCTCGCCAGACACGTTGTAAAGTATTATGCGAAGCCATGGTGGCCGCGCGAGCCCAATTCCGTTCGTGGGCCGAGCCTCGCCCGAAAACGTGCGCCATCATTTTCGGCGCGTTTCCGAAGCGCTTCTCGGGGGCGACGGCGCCGACGTAATTTGCGCGAGACATCGGCGCGACGCCCGGGGGGGGGGGCGAGCGCGCGCGCGGGGCATTCCTGCGACATCTGCGCGAGACATTTCCGGGGTGCGAAAGCATTTGCGCGGCGTCTACACATCGTCTGCGACGTGTCTCTGGGGGGCGAAGTCACCCATAGAGCGTTGGCGAGAAATGTAAATATTATTTGGGCAGTCCCTTTGGCTTGTTGCGTGTGGTCTCAAGGACAGTCCAAGAACACAGGCCTCAATCAGTTTCGGAGGCTTCGTCCTCCCAGGAATCTCCGTCACTGTCAGCTGTGCGGCCTCTCTCTGGAGATTCGCCCAATCTCTGCCACCCAATCTAAATCAGATTCAACCAACCCGAAGCATCGGGGCCCCATTTGGCGCTGCTCCGTCTGGCTCGGGAGAGCCGCCGGGGCAGCATCGGCCCCAGGCGCCTCATGCACATCTTCATTCGCCCGCTGCGGCTCCCAAGTGCTACGTAGCTTGCTGTGGACAGTCCCTTTGGGCTATGAGTTTGGCCTGTCGCATCCTCCGAGTTCTTCCTCTCGCGGCCGTGCGAACACATCAAACGTATGACGCCTCAGATCCTATTTTTCTGCGGGTGGGGGCATCCCCCCTGATGGGTAATTCTCCTAGTCGTCCGCTTCGAAGGGTGGGTGGGGGGTCTGGCGCGACGAGCGTCGAGCGCAATCCGTTCGCTAGTTGTTTCTGGTTAGAGTGAAACAACAGACGGCAAGCGTCATTTCTCATGTGTTCCACTCCGTGGGCGGAGGCAGTATGCGCAGCGCGAAACGCGCAACCTATTCTTTCCAGCGTGTGGATGCAGCAAACGTAATCGTAATCCTTCCAGTCTTGCTCTCCACGGCTGGGGCACGTATCGTAAAACGTAAGGTTCCACTCCTTGCTCTTCAGCCGCCCGCTGCCTCCTCATCATATTCGTTCTGAGATTTAGTGTCCCTTCTAAAGGATCTTTACCATGCCTTTGCCAAGCGGAAGCGTTGGTATGACGGCTTGAAAAGGCCAAAATGGTGTCAGTCCCGGCCCCCGCTTCCGTATCATCCCATTTTTTGTGTTCGCGGTTCACCCAGTTTTTTGGTAATCTATTGTTTGGTGCCTTGGGGCCCAATGGCACGTATAACCTACATCCATGTCCAAATCTGTTCAAGATGCTTCTGCACGCGAAGCAGTAATTCTGGCGTCTCCCAGACCCTCCCATATCCCAGCTTCCATTGCCCCATATCATTGAAACTCCCAGATGTCCGGTAGGGAAGAGCTCAGTTTGTTGTTATTCCAGTGGCTCTCTGCCCGTTGCTCTTGTCCCCCTGCTCCCCCCCCCGTTTCCCCCCCGCCTGCTCCGCCCGCAAGTGGGATCCCGCAGCGGAGGGGCCGCCTTACAGGGGCGACCCCGCGGCCATCGCCTCACCTGAACGAGCAGCGCACGCTCATACCCAGAAGGGGGGGATGGAGGGAGCTATGGGCGCGTGTTATCGGATGGGGGCCCCCGCTCGAACGGGAGCCCCCCCCCGTGTCCGACAACCCGCACCCATACCCACTGCCAATCCTCCTCTCTGCGATCCCTCTGTTGGAATGGGTGTGTGTGTGTGTGTGTGTGTTTGTGTGTTGTTCGTTCGCCCCTTGGGTGGCCCAGGCGATCGCCCGGACGAGCGCCCCATTCCCATTGCCGTTCCCCCCTTCCCCCGACCGGCCCATGCTCAGCATGCGGCCCCCAGCGCCGCCGCCACTGCCAGGCGGCGCTGCAGCTCCTCTGCCGCAGCGCGGTCCGGCTGCCGAAGCAGGCGCCCGCGGCCGCGGCGGGCACGCCGCAAGGCGTCGGCCGCCTCCCGCACTCTTCCTTTTCCGTCGGCGGGCCAGGGGTGAAGGAGGGAGGAGGCAGGATTCAAGCAGTGGCGAATCCTCCTGGCTCGCCTGCAGGCCCAGCAAGGAATCTTCTGAGAACCTTGTGTGGTTTGCGCGAAATGTTCTTGGAGCATTTCTGGCTGAGACCGTCTTGTTTTCATCAGTTGGCTGTATGTTCTAAGAACACTGTTTTTGTTAATTCGTTTTTTGGTTCGAAGGAAATTTCGTGGTAGGATTGTAGGAATGCTTGGACGGTCCGTCCCTGCTCAAAGGAGTGAAAGCGGAGGGTGAGGGTGGCCTGTGATCGAGGCGCCTTGGAGTGAAGCTGTGATGGAGGCGCCTCCAGAGGAGTGACGCCTGCTTGCGTATACTGCCCAACTCTTTGTTTGATTATGTTGCAACTCTTTTTTTGATTCTATTGCACGATTTTATCTTTAGACGGGCACGTTCCAGACCGCTCAGAAACGAACGAACGGAGAAGGGAGTGGGGATATTGTGAGAGGGGTCGGACGAGTCTCGGGATCACAGCGCCTTGCCATGTGTAGTAGTTTCCTGATCATTCGGTTTCCTTCCCATGTCGGTAGCGTGGTACTGTCGGTGTTCTGGCCAATACAGTCAACGCGCCTAGTAAGGACGCGCGTCTTCATCTCGGGTACTCGTGTGTCCTGACCCCTACGGCCCGTCCTTTGCCGTTTTTTGGTCGCCCGCCGCCAAACGAATCCCATTCTCGGTCTCCAAGGGTCTTGCGTCCACAATACCCGTTCTTAATACACATTTTGATTGTACGTGCCACGTGGTCGATCTGACGATATGATACCTGGCGATCTTGCCGTGGCTCCATGGGCGTGGTTGTTTGTGTGGCCGCGAGTCTCTGTTGTTTGAGCATGCCGAATGCTTCGGTTGACCTTGGCGCTCCGTGGGATGATGCCAAATGGCCGTTCGAAGTGGGCGCCCGAGCCGGGGGCTCGCAGGGGCCGCCCTCGTGAGGGACCTCAGAAGCCCGCGAGTGACGGGCAACAGGGGAACAGAGGTGTCTTGCGACACAGTGCGGTTGCCATGGTTGATCGCGGGGCCGCGAGCCTTGAATTTTTGACGCTTTGCGTCTCCCACCAGCCCATCCAGAAACGATGCCAAGGCGAGCCGCCTTTATCATGGAAGTCTAGGAGCAAGCAGTGTGACAACAATGAGGGGGATGGGGGCAGCCGTCGGAGCAAAGCTGCAGATTAGCCTGGGCAGACCTACCAGTCAACCATACATGCCACCGTGGACATTTCGATCATGGAGTTCCTCGGAGCCTTCTTTCGGCCACCGTGGGGCCCTCTTGGGGCCATTTTGGAAGCCGTGGGGGCTCTCTTGGGGCCCTCCAGGGGGCCTTTCGGGCTCTCTCGGTGCCATCTTGGAGGACATCGGTCAAAGTGGAGGGTCCTCAACTTGGGTAGCCCTGCCCTCCCGCCCTCGTCGGAGCCCTCAAACTCGCCTTGGTGGCCCTCTGGGCTCTCTTGGGGCTCTCTTGGGGCCCTCTTGGGGCTCTCTTGGGGCTGGGGGCCGTCTTGAAGTCCTTATGGGACCCTCTTATGGCCATTGTGGGCGATCTAGAAGCCATCTTTAGGCCTCAGGAACCCATCGGAAAGGAATATGCGAGCAACCACATCAATAAACCAATCATCGGCTATTGGGGGTTTCGCTTGGAAGCTCTCTGCCCACTCGGAGAAGTCTTACGGCAGTCGTGGGGCATCTTGGAGGCATGTCGTACGACATTTTGACTCTCGCGCCATCCTGAGCTCTGCTGGGCCGTTTTGGAGACCACCTCGGGCTATCTGAGGCCATCATGTAGCCATTCGAGGTCATCTTAGATGCTTTGATTCCTCGCCGAACCTTGGTTCTGACCCTAGGAGAGGGGTTCGGAGGAGGAGGAGGAGTGAGCTTCGTCACGAAAGGGACGAAGATCTTAAGAACCTTTCTCTCTAAACAACCTGCTCCCATACAGCTGGTGTGATTATCAGCATGCCAGTTCCTGGCTTGTGACGAATGCTTGGGTTGACTTGGCGCTCCGGCTGAGTTTGTGTGACGATGTCAAAGGACCAACCGTTTCTCAGCCGTTCGTAGTGAGCGTCAGAGCGGGGGGGCTCTTGGGAGCCACCCCCGTGATGGACCTCCTTCGATGTCTGACGAGCCAGGTTGTAGGAGTGCTGGCTGATCTCGTGGTCGCGAGGATACACCCACGAGACAGAGCGGTCCGGCCGAGTTCGTGTGATGATGTCAGCTGACCGACCGTTTCTCAACCGTTCACAGCGGGCGTGCGAGCGGAGGGTTCTCATGGGAGACACCCTCGTGGAGGACCTCTGACGAGCCAGGCGTATGAGGAGTGGTGGTCAATCGCGTGGCCGCGACTCTTGAACGAGTATGGTGTTCTGTCCAGTGTTGGCGGCAGCGCTTTCTGTTGCCCAGACGGTCCGGCGGAGTCTGTGTGGTGATGAATGACCAGCCGTTTCTCAGCCGTTCGCAGTGAGCGTCCGAGCTGGGGGCTTGTGGGAGCCGTCCTCGTGAGGGACCTCCTCTTCCTCCTCCTCCTCCTCCTCCTCCTCCTCCTCCTCCTCCTGTCTGACGAGCCAGGTGAGGTCGGATGGGCGATCGTGCGGCCGCCTGTCTGGATTGAGGTCTGTGCTGTTCTGCCCGAGAGGCGTTCGCCATGACGCCGGTGCTCAGACGAAGGAAGGTGACGAACGAGCAACACACACCCATACCCATAGGGGGGGGTCGTTGGGAGGAGGACTGGCTATGGGTATGGGTGCGGGTTGTCGGACCCTGGGGAACGCTCCCGTTCGAGCGGGGACCCCCATCCGACAACACGCACCCATAGCCTTCTCCGACCCCCCTATGGGTATGGGTGTGTGTTGTTGGTTCGTCATAAGGGGCCCTTGGAAGTCGCTAGGGCGAGCTAGGGGCTTGAGTGTCTTTCATGGCGACATGGATTTCAGCCGTTTTGGCCGAGTGGTACTTGGGCCTTACGGCGCGTGTGGGCGAGTCTGCCGGGTCTGGTGAGGAGGAGTGGAGGGTCATATGGGAGACGGATGAGGAGGAGGGGGAGGAAGATGAGGCCCAGGAGGAGAAGGAGGACCACTGTAAACCAAAGACTCATCAACGATGTTGCAATAATCCCTCCCTCCAAGTTCCCTCGTCATAGGTCCCTACATGGGCTTATTTTCACTGAGGGAAGTGCCCCGTTGGAAAACAAGCGTCTGGAAATCCCGAGCCGTGTCAAAACATCATTCCTGGGACTTCAGCGCCGCGAGTCAACGTTACTGTTGCGTCCTGACGGTCCCGAATCGTGCCAAACGTTCTTGGGACTCCAACACCGCGAATCAACGTGATTGTTGTGCCCTGGCAGTCCTACATGCCAAACCGTTTCTGGGACGTCAACCATAAGACGCGGTGAAACTGTTGTAAAGACGAATGCGCGCGGCGCTAAGGCGAGAGCTACATTTTGATTCCTCTCGCTTCGTGGGGTGCACGCCTGGAGCACTTACAGTCCATTCGTTGCGGGGCCTCTTGGGAGTTTCTTTGTGGCCTCTTGGAGGTGTCTTGGGGGCTTCTTGGGGCCTCTCCTGCACCGGGCTTCTTTGGGGCCTCTTGGGGGCGTCTTGGGCCGTCTTGGGGCGCTCTTACGGCGTGCGGCCCGTTCGGAGGCCGGTCTCTCTCGAGGCCGGTTTGGGGCCTCTCGCGGCCGCAATCGCTGCTGTGGAAAAGTGTTCAAATGCGGAAGGTGTGGGCCACGGTGTGGGCGTTGGCTGGCGTGACCTGCCCGGCTGCCGCGCGTGCGTGCCGTTCCGTCCTGCAATCCCCAGGGCTTCTGGGCGGCCTCATGGGGGGATCTTGGGAGCCTCTTGAAAGCCTCGTGGGGGCTTCTTGGAGCGTCTTTGGGGCCGCTTGGGGGCCTCTTGGGGCTTCTTGTTGACGTCTTGCGCCGGCGTGGGGCGCTCTTGTGCCGTCTGGCCCCTTCGGAGGCCATCTTAGAGGCCTCTCGCGGCCGCCTCAGGGCTCTCTTGGAGTCCTCTTGGGCTGTCTTGGAGGCCTCTTGGATCGTCTTGGGGGCCTCTTTTGGCTGTCTCGGGGCCCTCTTGCGCAATCCTGGGGCCCCTTTGGGGGCCTCGTTGGCCGTCTTGAGGGCTTCTTGGAGGCTGCTTGGGCCGTCATGGTCCTCTGTGAGCCGAAAAAGGCGAGAACGCTATAATCTTTCAAAAGCCAACGGAAAATCAATGATTATGGCTCCTGGAGGCGCTCTTTCGAGTTCTCTTGGGGCCCCCTTAAGCCGTCTTGGGGGTCTCACGGGCCCTCTTGAGACCATCCAGGGCCGTCTTGGGGCCGTCTTGGGCCGTCTTGGGGCCATCTTGGGCCATCTTGAGGCCCTCTTGGAGTCCCAAGAGGCCCCAGAGGCCCGAATCGTCGATTTCCCTATGGTTTTTTTGGTAAACAGGTTTTGAGAGCCCGAAAAGGGGGCCACCACCTTGGTACGGCGGAGTGGCGCGACTCCAAGGGGGGGATCAGGGGCAGAGACATACGAATGTAAAGCAATACAATGTGTGGCGATTATACAACGATTGGATACATCGGGTACGTTGCATTATCGCCTCCGCAGAACTGCGCGCGGCGCTAAGGCGAGAGCTACGTTTTGATTCAAGTGGCGTGCGCCATTCCGCCGACCCCCTCCGAGGCAGCGAGCGCTTGCGACGAGTTTGAAAGTTATGTGGTGACCCAGGAGCCTTTTGTGTGCATTTGAAGGGGCTCGTGGGATGCGTCTCAGTGGCCTCCTGGAGGTTTCTCGGGGGCACCTGGGGGGCCTCTTGGGCCTTCCCGGGGGCCTCCTGGAGGCTTCTTTGGGGCCCCTTGGGGGCCTCTTGTGGGCGCCTCGGGGGTGTCGGGGGGGGGCTCTTGGGGCCATCTTGGGGAGAACGGCTCGAAACATCATTTCG